GTCTGCTGGAAAGAACAAGCAGTTCCAGTTCACGAGCATCATGGACGACGACGATGATGACGAATAGTCTTGTAGAGTGGGCCTCACAGTCTTCAACCTTCCGGGAGTAGCAAAAGCATCATAGCAGGCGTTTCGGGACATAGTGGCATCCATTTTTTCGTCTACCTTTCATCCGTCTAAAACATCTAAATGGAAGAGAGCATTTTGAAATCCCATGATCAAAGCGCTGCATATGCGCTGCTCATCAACACCAATGCAACGCTCAGAAAGTATTCGTACAACTAAAGCAATCATACAGCAGCATGATTCGATCGTCACATGCCAACGCCTTCACACCATGCCACTTAATCGATCTTGATGGAGGCATAAATCTTCCTGACGAACCACCAGCTAGCGAAGTAGCCAATCGAGCCTGTGCGAAGTTAGCATCGTGTTCGAACGGCTGTGCCTGTGCGGTGGGTAATCTTACCGGTCAGAATGAAGAAGAGGAAGGAAATGAGGGCGCTGTATCCGATGTAAAGCACAGTTCCGGCCAGGTTACTCAGATTCAGCTTAGTGATGAGGTACAACAGGCAGTTGGCAAAGATGTAGCCACCGCTCATACCGGCAGCGAGGAAAGAGCGCCATTGCCAGTTGTAGTTTTCGGCGCACAGAAGGAAGTAGACCATGAGGATCGTGACTGCGGCAGTGGTGACGATCATAAGGCCGTAGGAGAGGAAGAGGAAGCCAAACATGTAATAAATCCGGCTGAACCACACCGAACTCATGATGAAGTACAGCTCAACGAAGATGGCACCGAACGGCAGTAGACCGACGATCAGCATGCTGGGGATCGGCCTCAGGTAGGTCGTGACGGGCGGAACCTGGCGGGGGATCTGGTTGGTTCGGACGGGGGGCTCAAGGACGGAAGCACGGAATCCCATCCACGATCCAGCAAAAGACAGAGGGACCGACAGGACGAACCAGATGGCGATAATGACGAGCATGGTGGTGAAAGGAACAGCACCTGAAGACTGCTTGGCCCACAAGAACAGATCAAGGAAGAAGAACGCGCCAAATACGATGCTGGGGACCAAAATCGGGGTGAGCGCAATGTTCATCTTCCACTTCTCACCCTGCATCGACTTGTAAGTCCTCGAGGAGACGTAACCGCCGACGAAGCCCAGAATGGTGTAGAGAAGGAGAATAATGGTACCGAGCGAGCCACGGTTGGACGGCGACAGGAAACCGAGAAGAGCGAAGCAGATCGTGAAGCCGGTCATGACGAACAACTGCACACCATTTCCGAGCAGAACGGAAAGGAGGAGAGGATGGGACGGGTTGCGGAATACGTCGCCGTGGACTAGCTTCCACCCGGAGTCTTCCTGCACGCCATCCTCGATGACCGAAGTACCGGACAGATCGTCCAGGTTGATCTGATCCAGACGGTTGTATCGAGCAATATCCTTCTTCAAGGCCCTGACCAAGATAGACATGACAGTGAGGATCAGGATAATCACGATGATAGCAGTGTCGATGAGCCAGAACCAGTGGATCTTGGGGTCAAAGACATGCAAGTACTTGTCCCAGCGAGTCGCCCAGGCTGTCTTGGACTCTTTCCAGTAGACCGAGTAAGAGAACTTGACCTCCTTCTCGCCGCTGTCCTCGTTGAAGATAATAGGCTCCATCTGGTTGTTGCAGTCCAGCAGACCAGGGTAGGCACGAGAGCTGGGCTCCACCACAACGCCGACAACACGAAGCTGGGTCTCGTCGCCGTTGACCGGGTGGTACTCGATGTTGATGTCATAGTGGTTGTTGAAGATGATGTTTCCCTGCTCGTCGGCGCCTCCCATCAGAAAGCCGGGGTTGTAGAACGTTGTGTTCGTGAAGTCGTCGTAGATCTCCTGTCCCGCGGGCAAGCCGTCCACGAGCCAGTTCAAGCTGTAGCCCTGCTCGATACGACGCCTCACAAAGCCGACAGCGGCCGGAGGATACTTCTGAATGCAGAGAGGCTTGCAAACCTCGTCGTTCTTCATGCGCAGCTCGAAGGGCGAGGTCATAATGCGGTCTCCGAAAAGGATACTGCCGAGACTTTCCGACACATATTCGGGCGCGGGGGACGGCTCGCAGAACTTGAATCCGGGGTGGTAGTAGTCGTAGGATACGATCGAATGCAGTCGCGAGTCGGAGGGAGCGGCGACAGGCTTGATGCTATTGACATACAGGGGAACGACGTCGCCCTTCTTGTAGGACGTGGGCGCAACACCCGGCAGGTAGAATGCGGACGCCAGCTGCGGGATCGCCAGCAGCGAGGCGACGAGCGCCGATGAAGGCGCCATATCTCGCAGTTGCATTATGGGGAGATACTAGAGCTCTATTCAATATTCGCCGTCAGCCTCGGCGAGTTGCGATGCGCTTGCGCTGTTCAAGAGAACAGTAGCGTGAAACATGAAACCGATGGGAATAGCTCCATAGATCGCGATTACGTACCCTTGGATATATGTACGCGAAGCGGCTTACAGCCGGTGGATCGTCCGGGTTTGTTCAGCTCCAGGCGAGATGCGTTGAAAAAATGACTCGAAAGAAAAAACGGAAGAGCCTGCGATCGTGGGTGTAGAAGCACAGAGCTCCCAAGGTGGACAGATGGCCAATTGCTTTTTTGTTGTGTCAGGTTTGGGAGCTTCGTCACTGCTTCCACAGGAGCTCCAGCTGCTTGCTGCCTCCTGCCTCCCGTCTCGAACAACTGTCCCAAATGCGGCTTAGTCACCTTCGTCCGAGCTCTCTGTCGGAACATTGTCTACCCGACATCCCGCCCGTGGCGCAGGGGAAGGAAACACTGGTGGTGGGGTCCGACAGTCGGGGATCCACACACCCGCAGTTCCGGGTCCCGCACCTGCAGATCGGTTTTGCGGTTGCAAAAAAAAAATTCCTGGGTCGCGTCCCTGTTCACGCTGCTGCTTCAAAATTCTTCACCAGTCGCAATCACTCTCGCTAGGTCAAAATGGCTGCACCAAGCACTCTGCCAGCTCTGCTGGACTCTTTGACGCAGTCATTGACGACTTCGCTCGACGCAGCACCGAAGAATTCAATTGCGCCACCTCAGAATGGCATCTCGCTCCTCGACGTCAAGAACGAGCTTCTTCTTTCCTACCTCCAAAATCTGGTTTTTCTGATCTTGCTCAAGCTTCGCAACGCCAAGAAGCAATCTAGCGACGATGAGAACGCCGACGACACTACGCAGGCAGTTGTCAAGAAGTTGGTGGAGCTGAGACTTTACCTGGAGAAGGGTGTTCGCCCTCTCGAAGATAAGTTGCGCTACCAGATTGAAAAGATCCTGCGCGCTGCGGACGATGCCGAGAGAAATGCCAAAGCCGCCGAGGCAGCGGAGAGAGGCAACGGCGACAATTCCGACTCTGCGTCCGACGACGAATCAGGCAGCGACGAGGAGTCCGACGATGAGGAAGACCTCAAGGCTTCCGCCATGCAAGCCCGGCCAGACGCCTTCGTCCGTCCCGCCGCGGCCTCTGCCGCTGTCGCAGCCGCCCAAAAGGATGGAGTCTACCGTCCGCCAAGGATCGCCCCTACAGTCATGCCTTCGGAGCGCCGCGAGAAGACCGACCGTCGCCCCCACAAGTCTGCTGTCATGGACGAGTTCATCGAGACCGAAATGTCCACCGCCCCCCTCGCAGAGCCAAGTATTGGTACAACCATTGTGTCTGGCGGTCGCAGGATGAAGACGGCGGCGGAGCGCAAGGACGAGGACGAACGCCGCGAGTACGAAGAAACCAACTTTGTCCGTCTCGCTCCCAAGAGCAAGAAGGAACAGGCCAAGGAGAACGCGAGAACCGGCCGCAGTGGTCGCATGCAGTTTGGTGGAGAGGAATGGAGAGACTTGGGAGAGGGCGTGGACCGCATCAACAGACTCACTGCACGCAAGAAGAGCGGCGGTACCCGCGATCTCCTCGACAAGAGCCGGAAACGCGGCAGAGAGACGACAGACGGGCCGAGAGGCAGCGGCCAAAGAGCCGAGATGGGAGAGCGTTTCCAGAAGCGTGTCAAGACCCTGGAGGCGGGCAGACGCGACAGAGGCAAGCGATAGACGGACGGAGATACCCCAACAGTGCGCCGAAAGGTATTCAGCATCAAAAAGAAAGAAGTTTTTGCCGAGGTTCTTGGAGTGGGCTAGATCAGTTCAGTCGACGTTTTAGAGTTGCAATCGTGTTTGTGTCAATGTATGAGCTGGTTGTGTGCCCATGGGAATTCGTCCGTTGCCATGCTCAAGTGACTGGGAAGTACCATACCGGCACCTAATCCGATCGGCCAGCCAGCGACAAAGCGATAATCTTCCGAAATTCGCGATCCAACCTGGGTCTAGATCACCCAACCATTTCAGCGTAGCAGCCAACAGCGGGTGGCCTCGGCGATGTCTTGGTCCTCGGACTATGCATAGCCCTGCCACAGTCGACCATTCGGCCTTGGTTTCGCATGTCTTCCCAAGTGATGACAGCTACCCTCTCGAGACTTTTCCAATGGGGTTTTTAAGGTGGGCTGGATCAAACGGCGGCCCATGCCCCCCAGCAGTTCCCTGGCGTCAGGTCAAGACAGTGGGCTGGGCCGGGCTAACCCCGTATTTCACATGCTTCCCTGTGGCGTTTCAATTGACTCCCCTAGCGTTCTTGGTGACGTCAATCGTCCATAACCAGTGGGCCTGTTCGCCGGCCGTCTCAGTCTGCCAGCCGCGGGGGGTTGACGCGGACCTGACCTCAACGTTAAGGGAAGCTCACATGCCAGTGAGCTGCCAGAGCTCCTGGAGCTTCCTAGGCTTGCCGCCTGCCACGTTCGCCTCGTTCTGTTGAGCTCCCTTAGCTTTTTTTTCTCTTTTCCTCAATTGGTTTTATAGAGTTTCATACCCCCTTTCGTCGCTTTGTTTTGTCTTCCTACACTCCGCCGGACAAAGCATCGATTGCTCTGCTACTCAAACAACCACCGAACACGTCTGGGCTTGAGGCCTGTCTGCCACGATGCCGTCCGAATCTCGCGTAGAGAACCCCCTCTTCCATCCCTTCCTTTTCCTCTTCCAGGTGTTCCAATGGTTCGCGGATAAGATCTTCTCTCCCACTCCTCCCGAGCCGAGCACCCGCCTTAGCCGTCCTAAGGTAGCGGTCATTGGAGCTGGTATCACCGGTGTCACGTCTGCAGCGCATTGTATCGGCCATGGATTCGATGTCGTCATATTCGAGGCGGGCGGTCGCGAGAACTTGGGAGGCATCTGGAGTGTACGACAACCCCTGGCAACCCAAATCGGATGAAGTAGTACTAACGTCAGATACAGAAAGTCAACAATTCTTCCAGCTTACAGATTCACTCCATGATGTTCCGCTTCCACCCCTCCGTCAAATGGGAGCGCGGATACCCCGACAGACAGCAAATCCTCAGCCAAGTTAAGCAGGTTTGGGAGAAATATGGACTGGAGACCCGCACTAAGTTCAACACCCCGGTAGACAAGGTCTACCAGGACGAAAAGGGTCGCTGGGTCGTTAACAACACCGCAAATGGCCACTTCGAGGGCGTTATCGCTGCTGTCGGCACATGCGGCGAGCCCAAAATGCCCCAGATCCCCGGAATGGAGAATTTCAAGGGCCATGTGTACCACTCCAGTCAACTCACCGGGTATGAATCTTCAACACCTACACTCTAGTGCGCTGCAGGACTAATGACTTTATAGAAAGAACGCCAAGGGCAAGAAGATGGTCGTCATTGGTGGTGGTGCCAGCGCTGTTGAGGCATTGGAGTTCGCCGTCGACGAAGAAGCTGAGAAGACCTCGATCCTGTCTCGCAGCGACAAATGGATCATTCCTCGCAACCCAATCGTGAACATGTTGCTGGCTATGAACATTCTTGGCCAAGAGACGAGATTCTCATGGATCCCCGAGACTCTGCTCCGCAAGTTGTTCTATCGCGACTTGCAAGATATCGCTCCTTACAGTAAGGGCATCTACATGGACACGCCGATGGTCAACAGCCACGTTATGGAAACCATTCGCTCGGGCCATGCTGAGTGGATTCGTTGCGATATCGAGGGCTTCACCGCTGAAGGTGTCATCGTCAACCGACGTGCTCAAGGTGTTCCCAAGGGTGGCCCAGGAAGAAGAGAGGTGGTTCCCGCGGATATCATCGTCATGGCTACTGGTTATAAGCGTCCCTCGCTCGACTTCCTACCCGAGGACTGTTTCACCGAGCCGTATAGTCCTCCCAACTGGTACATCCAGACGTTCCCGCCCAACCATCCGTCCATCTCTGCGATCAACTGGTAAGTCTTGGCTTGACACGTGCAAACTCACATGTAACTGACTCACTTTGCAGCACCTATGTTGCCGCTATCGGAACCGTAGGCAACTGGCATATCGGTATCTATACGAGAATTCTCCTCATGTTCCTCATCGACCCCTTGACGAGACCGCATCCATTCTGGATGAAGTCTTGGATCGAGATGACAAAGCTTCTGAAATACTTCTCGCCCACTGGTGCTTTCGACTTTTTCACCTATCTCGAGCTTCTGTGGTGGTTTGCCTTCAGCGTCACCTTCAACCCCTTCCGATGGAAGTGGGCCTTCTTTGTCTTCTTCGGTCTGGGTTTCATGCTTCCCAAGCGTGTTGTCGAAGTTGAAGCACGTATTCGCAATGGCATGGGCTTCCAGGAGGAGGTTGGACGTGACACGGGCCGGAGCATCTAAAACCTTCATGTTTGGTAGCTGGCAGCAGAAATGCCACCCGGAATTTGTGGTATTGATACTGGAAATGTGACGACTCAGCTCGGTTCGGTTGGCGCGAGCATGGCTGATTTCATTTCGGCTCCGAGGCGTCTTTCATTGGGTTCCTATCGTGTACAAAAGCGGATGTGATCTGCCAAGCTACGGAAGAATGAAAAGCAAGCATTTCATTTGAGATCTGACCTGCGATTTTGAGAATTGATATAAGACAATAACGCCAGTCTCGTGGCTTGGCTATATGTTAAGAGGCTAGCAAACATGAGTGTTCCATCCTCTCGGGAGGTATGATCGGCACGCGCTCCTGTTTCCATCATGTTTGCATTCGTCGCGCGTCCTCTCGGGGTAGTTGCCAAGCTCAAGCCACTTGTCAGTAGTCGCCTATCCCTTACAGGAGCTAATTCATCAGCACTTTCGTATGCTCGGGTTTCACCCGGGCGCTTGATCAACAACCCCGGACCCGAGAGAGTCTAGCGCCGGTGCCCCGGTTAGGCCGGTTCAGCCCGTTCGTGGGCGCCCCATTGCCTCTTTGAGCCGGCCATCACTGAATAATACTTCCTCCTCTGGACTGGCTTCTAAACGTCCATTCCCTTGATGTACACGTACTCCACTTGCGATCTACCAAGCCCACGGTACGGCGGCTTGAGCGGCTCCCCTTGGAAGCGGGGAACGGATGTCCCGCCGTGCCCGCTCATACTCCATGCGTGTTGCACGACGTTGGTGATGACTTGGGCGATGGTTTCGAACGGCTTCGGCTGTTTTCATCGACCTTCGCCCAATTTGTGGGGTAAAATGTGAGCTTGTCGTTCGATATTATTCAATATTCAGCCACAGCTCTATTCGATTGGTTTTGGATACAACTTTCGTGGCTCTTAACGCTGTTCGTGAACATGCTCATGAAGGATGTGCATCCTGATCACCTTCGTATGGCTAGTTGGGTCTTCAGGGCTGGTGATTGACCAAGACATGACCCAGAATATCAAACCCTCCATTCTTTCTTCCCAGGCAGAACTTAGCATTCCGAACCCCTCTTTTCCTGTGATATCGACGACAACACGCTGGGATTGGCCCGGAGAACGAGCTCTGATCGGGCCCTGTGAGCTTTCCCATGCTCGCAATGCCATTCTCAGACGCGAGCAATCATCGGGAAAGCGCGCAACCGGACGCTAACACCCACTCGCCGGGGTCAAGCTGAAGAGCAAGTCGTTTGGATGTCTCAGGGAATAGTGTGATCACGATCAATGGGGTCTCATGGTCGTGGGCGTTCTGCTTGCTGGTTCCTGGGAGGCCGAAGATACCTGAACAGGCCATTCGAGGTGCCGAGGCAAGGCAGCTATCCGACCCGGGTCGTCGTTGTTTAAAAGCCAGCTTGTATTCCCCGAAGTTATGTTGAAGGAATCAGCAGTCAAGCTCCACTACAATGCTTGGATTCCGCAGAAACCCATTGAGTACGACGCCCAACCCAAACTTTATTCTTCCTTCCCATACCTTTCTATGAGCCGCAACTGATATTTCGATCTTTACAGGCCGACGGAAGAAGTCTGTTTCTTCCGAGCAATCCTTCAGTTCAGAAAGATCCATCGACGACATCACACCCACGGGTACTCCCATCTCAGAGTCACGACCATCCATCATGGCAACCACCAGCAGTCAGTCATCAGTCAACAAGCACATCATCAGGGAGGAGACTAGAAGGATGAACGGCGCCTCTAGCAGCGACTCTGCCTCTGAGTCTGGCAACGAGGCCGTCACAAGGCACACCTCGTTCCAAACGCGGACGACCTCTTCTTCTCAGGTCCAGACCCAGTCGTCAACCAGGACCCAGTCTTCATCCCAGCTTACATCTTCATCTTCATTCTCGTGGAAGATGCTGAGTGTCTCTGAGGTTGTCAAGACTATCAAGGGCAAGATCGTCCGAGAGATCGAGGATGTCAGCCACGATCACTTTGAGAGGATGGGCCTCGAAGGGTACCTGGAGTACATCGGCAACGAGCGTTTGATCCACATGCCTGCCAAGGGCAGCCAGTGGGATCGAGTTTTGAAGGAGGCCGAATTCTTTGCTATCCAGCTGGATGGCTTCGCAGAGAACCTCAAGAAAGTCATTCCCGACTCTAACCGTGCCCGGGATACTGCTTTAGCAAGCTGCTACTTGCTTCTTGAGGTATTATATCGTTTGCCCATCACTTATGAGTATTGGTTACTAACCTCTCGTACAGCTGGGCTGTGATCAGGCCGAGGCCTTGGAGCCTACGTTCAACGCCCTCTATGAGCTTGGTCTGCTGCTTTCTCATGTCATCAGGCTGCATGACATGTTCTCAGCAAGTGAGGCCATCAGGTCTGACCTTGACCGTGTCTTCTCCAGCCTCGTTCACCTCGTTGGAAGCATCGCCATCTTCTACAGACAGCGTATCAACCGCATCTACAGCGGCTCGGTGACGATAGATTTCGATGCCGAGTTTGGTGCTCAGGTCTCTGAGATTTGGTCTTTGAAGGAGCACCTCTTCAACCACATGTGGGCCTACAAGCTCCGCGAGAAGCAGCAATCGCTTGATATTGCCACACTTCGACAGCATCTTTTGCCGTCCAAGGAGTCTGTCAAGTCTTTCGTCTACGGCCGTGTTGCCGACCGCAAGCTCCGCGTCGACGGCACGTGTACCTGGATTCAGCACGACCTCCACGATTTCCTCGGCAGTCAGGATGATATCTTTACCATTACTGGAAACGAGGGATGCGGCAAAAGTATGCTTGCTGCTTGGGTGAGACAGAGACTCGAGAGGCCCATTCACGGAACTCACTTCGAGACCATCTCTTATACCTTTTGTAAGTTATCTAGTCGCATTTTAAATGTCCCGCGCTAACATTCTGACCAGCGAGTGATATTCCCGAGGAGTCTTCGCCTCTTGCTCTTCTAAAGAGTTTGCTTTCTCAGCTCTTGGAGTCTAACGTCGGTGACGTTGCACTCTTTGAGAAGCTGGGAGTTATCTTCGGCAGCACCCCACCGGGAGATCACATCCACAAGCTCGAGACCGATCTTTGGGAGTGTCTTGAGCTGAGTCTTGCTGCCATCAACAAGAAGGCGCACCTCGTCTTGGTCATTGACGGCCTCGATGAGATCACGGGCGGGACTCAGAAGGCTAGTGATCTGCACAAGCGCCTTCACTCCGCTCTCAAGAAGCACCCTAACATCCAGGCTGTCACCTTCTCCCGTCCGATTTCCCACCTTGGCGGCAGCGGCAGCAAGCATCTGGTCATAACGCCTGACCACGTGCGCGACGATATCGAGCTCTTCCTCGCCAACAAGCTCGGACGCATTCGCGCCTTTACTGAAGAGAATGACAACTCCAAGCGCAACCTTGTCAATCAGCTTGCCGATCAAGCTAAGGGCTCCTTCCTCTTCGCCTATCTTTCCATCCAGCTCTTGTCTACAGGCCTAAACATCGGCTCATTCAGAGACACAATCTCCCGTTGCAATTCCGACGTGAAGGCTGTTATTGGAGAGCTCATGAAGAAGGTCAACATCAAGGAAGAGTACGGCGAGAGCAAAACCTATAACCTCTTCATCTTCATGCTAGCTGCTCAGCGCCCCCTCACCACTGGCGAGATGACCAATCTCATGGGCGTTTCCTTGTCAAAGCGTACCGTTTCTCCTTCTGCCGACATTTGGGCCCCCATCAACAACACCCAGGGCCTCGTCAATGTGCACCGGGGGACCCTGCGCTTCAAGCACTCCGTCGTGAGGAAGTACGTCCACAGCCTCTGTGGCAACACCCTCATGAGTATTGAGGATGCCCACCGCCACCTGACGTTGGCTCTGATGCTCTTCGCTAAGACGAAGTTCACCTATACCTACGAGCCGTCTCTGGAGGGGCTTCCTCAAGACCTCATTGACGATTGCTTTCACTCACATCACATCGTGCCGTATATGATGCAGCACTGGGTCTACCACTTCCGCTCATCATCTCTGGTTGGACAAAAGGGCAAACTCACCCTCACTGCTGAGTTTAAGGAGGTCTTCCCCGAGACCACCTTCTTCTCCCTGCTCGAGTGGTCCCATTGGCAGACGCAGTTCTCGCTCAAGGACACCATCGAGATGCACGATCTTACTCTTCGCATCCGGTCTACCTGCTTCGGCGAGAGGCACCGCTCGTATCTCCAGAACCTTATCGTCCTGGGGAGCCTTCGCAGGCGCACTACCGACCAGACCTCCGCTGCCGAATATTTTTACAAGGCTTCATGCATTGGCCAGGTTGTGCTGTACAAGTTCAGCCCTATCGTCATCTCCTGCACCAACTTGTTCCTCACCTGCACCGAGACGATCACGATCACCGCGCGAACCGCGACCGTCACTTACCGTGAGGAGATGATCAAGTACATGATTGAGATGCACCGGAGCAAGAGTGGTAAGCACAGTGACGAGGTCATCAAGTGGACCAAGTTGCTGGCCAAGCTTTACGTCGATGTCAAGGAGGAGGAGAGATCTTTGGAGATCTACCGAGAACTCCATCTCATAGTCACCGCCCGTTTTGGCAAGGGTTCCAAGGAGGAGTCTGAGCTGGCTGGGTCCATGAGTATTGTCCTTCAAGGGAAAGAAGGCCATGACCCCAGAACCATCTCTCGCCACACCACGCTTCTCTTTGACGCTGCCGAGGAGCTGTCATACACAGACGTCCGTCGCATCGAGATCATGTTCAGCCTCGCTCGTACCTACGAGTTCAACAAGCAGTATCTCATGACGGAGAGGTTGTACGTCAGCCTTTGGCGCTCCATCTTGGAGGCCTGCCGCCTCAAGGGCAGCGCCGAGCTCCACCTCCAGAAGCTCAACATCGCTATTGAATACATCCATTTCCTTCAGCGCATCAAGCGGACTGAGGAGGCTTGCAACATTTTGGTTTGCCTCTGGGCTGAGTACGAGCACCACAACTTCGAGTCTGAGGTCATGGTCATCCGCTTCAAGGAGTTGGCCGTCA